GTCTACGACAAAACCTCCACTAACTCAGAACTGTCGCCGAGAAAAGTCAACCACGTATCAGATTCGAATGGTAATTTAATGGAAACGCAGCAATTTTTATCTAGCGTCCACGTTTATCTAGCTAAATACATTAGCTGCATTTTCATATCTCTATACATTATCAGTTTCACCGAAGCGCGTGATGGACGGCTCGCCGGTTAGCAGCGCATTGGGTTGCGCACCCATCATATAGGCTTCACTGGAACGACAAGCCGACGTTTTATCGAATCTCTCCATAATGTATTTACTATGCGCCCGCGTAAACAATAACCAATGTTAAACGAACATTGATGTGAATGTTATTTTTTAGAATTAACACTTGTTTTTAATGTCAGTATTATTGACAGTAGTATTAAGATGTCTTTGTATGATTATTGAAAATTAGCTTTCAGCTACGACTATTATTACAATGAACGATACATTAGAATCTGGAAATGGGTCAACACGATATTGTAGCGTGCAGAATTTAGAAAATCTCTAAATTAGAACTTATTAATAAGATCGATTTTCACCATTTTACGATTGAGTTTGTTTGCGTTCGAAGCGTATATTCGAATGCGATGCTGGCAATGAAGACAGAGATCTCATGCGTGGTCGAAATAATTAGAAATTTATTATTGACGCTGCAGTTTCTCAATTCAAACGCTATTATTTAACAATCTGCACCAACACCAACCCATGCCTGTCCGACCTTGTACCTTATATATATAGAATTTTGATCGTCTTGACTGATATGTACTCATGATGAAATCCTGCATAGCGACCTCGTTGACGCTGTTGTTCAATAGGAAACTAAGGAAGCGCTTTACAGGAATGACTCTCGTCTTCTGTGTAACACTAGGTGACCCAGTTGACGAAGTTTTAACTCGACCCTTAAGCAGATCTGTTTCCACATGCAACACTGCCAAGTATCGGCACTCGCCGTACTACGGCATGCTATACGGACATAGTTACTTATCGACATTTTCATTCGTAAGTCGTTTCATCATTGTCATCGTTGTCAGGATAACGGATGTAGCTAAGACGTCGATGAAGGTGCCTTCTTAATCTCTCCTCTAAGATCTCTTTTATATCTTTTGTGCTTTTGGTGAAATCTTCAGTTAACACGGTATCTTCTGTCGCTTTGAGTAATTCGAGTGCCATTTTGTATTCGTGTAAGCTCGACTCACTTGATCCGTCAGACTCCTGAAACCGCCTTAAACTAAGATACACTATAGTCAGGCAGTGCAACTTGAAGTTTAGAATTTTTAAGTTCCTTGCCGCATTTGTTGGGTAGTAAGAAACTAGCAGATGACGTCCTATCTCTTTATTGATCTTACGCCTAGCTGCGTTAATTCGGTCTGCCAGGTTCTTCACAGCTTCTTTGGTCATGATTATCGGCGACAACATGGTCTCGGATGTTGGCCGATTTGTTTAAGAACGGAATTCTACTTAAATCGAGAGGTAGAGAAGAGAGGCAAATCGGTCCAAATATCCTGAAATAGGACTATATCCACCGGTAAGACTAATGAGGCATTACACGAGTGGTCAGCATTTTCTGAAACTACTAACTCAAACTAACTAGAGTAGTACGTCGTACCCACTTACACTTCAGCGTATATTGATTCTACATGAGATTACAGTATCATTTACCTTTGTCACATGCCTAGAAAGCTGGTGTACAACAGATACTGATCAAGGTATGGATTTGTCTTACTTTAGTTGATACACACATGCTGTATGCTTGGCGATACAACCGCATAAAAACTGTTCTCTGGCGAAAGTCAAAATTCTAGTGGCAGATACGCTGACAATGGTAGAATTAGAACACTGATGATAAATATAAAATGATATCATAGGAAATCGACACTCGATCGAAGACTTATCGACATTTTCAAGCTGATAATGAAATGCAATACTCAAGCTCAATAGTTCAAATGAACGAACCACATAAAGGAGGCTTCTCAGGATCGAACGTGATCAATGTACAACCCCGTCAAGTCATAGAGACATTTTTCTTTATGACAACGACTATCACCAAACTTTTGTGTTGACTGCAACAGATTTATGCAACGATTTTATTCTGTCGCATGCGCCGCGCAATATCAATGAGGTAGGGTATTATCTATGGAAGCCAAAATAAGATTTGATGATGTGGAAAAAAAACCTATTATCCAATATTTTTTACAGTATATATAGTAACTTGTGCTTGAAAACAGAAAAAAATAATCATCTATAAAGATATATTTCAGAGGTGAAAAACGAATGGACTAGTCAAATTTTGACGAATCTTCTAGCTTTTCTAAGCACATAATGAATCTTTTTCCGTCTTTAATTTGACAGCAGAAGTTGCTGCATAAATATGGTTGTTATTACCCTTGTGGTTATTAAACCACAGGATTGGGTCATATTCTTAGTAACTTATTTTTTTTCTTTGGCACACATGTTACTTACAAACAATTAAAATTCACAAGAAAGGGCTCATGAACGCTTAATTTTTTAATGATTTGATAGTAACCTTCAATAACTGGCCAATATTGGACAATGACTAGGTATAAATAAACTAACACTAAGCAATGCCAGCCATTTGTAAATAAAACGAACCGGTCAGGCGTACGTGTAACATCTCTTAGTAACAGTTTTACTCGTCAAAAATTTTAAGAGTAATCTATGATAGGCTTTGTACTATATATATATATATATATATATATATATATATATATATATATATATATATATATATATAAACGCATCTATAAATAAAGCTAAACCAAAAAAATGACATGTAGTAGGTGAAATATCGAAATGTCATGTTTACGAAAAGGTCAACGCGTGTGAATGTAAACATTACAGCTTGCTAAAATAATTTATTTGATTTTTTACGATTGCGAGAACAAAAGTAAAACAATTGGGTAACTTGCATTTAGCATTTAAAAGGAAGGTTAAGTAAACCAGTTGATAAAAAAAAATGGGATACCATGCCATTTTAATTTAAGCTTTTTTATATTAACAAAAATTATGTGTCGTTCCCCAACGTCTAAATTTTCTCATGTTTACGTAAGAAGACATTGGTTAAACGATTGAATCGTCCTGAGAGGAAAAGTTTCTTAAAACCTACAGGGTATGTCCCGCGAAGCCTATGACGGCGTTAGTAGATACAAGTCCAAACTCTATTTATCCTGTTAAAAGCTGTCTCGTTGTCCCTATGTCCAATCGTCTTTAGGTGTAAACTCTTTCAGCATAAGCGTCAACTTATCGTTTGTAAAAATTCTACAGGACATTTATATTAACATTAGAAATAGGGTGCACTAACGAAACTAAGTGATATAATATGATTGTTGTACTGTGATATGGTTCAGTTTTAGACCCTCGAAGAAAACTATAATGCAATACAGAACCGATCAATATTGGGTAGACCATCTCTTCGGGCAAGGCATTGTCGGCTATATCGAAACACAGACACAAACGCCCAAACGTCTTGAGACACCGCAGCGTCTGTCATTCCTAGGACCTATGAATTGCGATGTAGCCCGCAGAATTATCCATCTTCATATGCTTAGCGTATCGACGACATTATGGGTTAGGTGAGTGGTATACATACACATATATTGCGCATCCGATAACCTCGCTCAACATACTGCTATGCATAACGTACCAATCTGACGACAGCACTAGATGTCACACTCCTTACACGATTTCTCATTTTGAGTTTGACATGATGAGAATTGGCACCGGCCTATAACAAGGTAGCGCGGTTGATTTAACAGTCATATTGGCTAAAGAGTTTGTCAGGCAAGACTCGTAGAAACAAGACAACGGCTGCTGCACGTCGGGGGCCATGTGGTTCTGTAAACGTAGCCGCTCACGATTACATGTCGTGCAGATGCACACACAAGCGCACACAAAGAGTACAACGTTCTATTTATTGACTAAGGTGAATGTTACCATAGAAGATGCCTTTCGACAAAGTACACGGATCCGTCTAGTATTCGGACACGAAAATGAACATTCAATAAATCCCTGCGTCGCGTCGCGTTGTGTGTAATTGTATTACTATAATGTGCAAATGTCTGAAGATTCTGTCGTGTAGAAATTGACGCTTAACAATTTTCTGCTCTAGTTGGGGATCAACCCGACCGTGTTCTAGTAAATCCTGACCAGATTTACTCTATCAATTACGTTCATACAAGCTTAAATCTTATAAAGTTAATTTCTTTAGTAAATGTATAAAAATTAAATTTTTCTAAAGTTGTCAAAATTTTAATCCACTGTATGTAAAAACCTATATTGCAAAAAAATAACTTGAGATTTGTCGATATTGATAGAATGGATCTTATCCCAGTGCGCTGGAACGCAATCGTCAAAAGATTTATCTATTGTGTAATGTTCATAGGGAGAGTCAAATGAAAAAAGATACATAAGAAACTTTTTTAAGAAATCATTTCAAATATGATTTTCTTTACCTTAGCTGGGATGTGATGTGATCGTCATTACTACAACTCGGAATCCCCCAAAAGCAAGTCTATTCCCATTTTCCAGTTCGAGTCTTGTTAAAGCCTCCAAACTTATTAGAAAACTAGAATTTTCGTTGGGTGCCGCTAGGACTATCATTGACTACTTGAGAACACTTAGAAGAAGAATTCAAATCAGAAGCTACACGTTACTCAATAACAACTCGAAATGACCATGGAAACCTACCACAGAGCTGTTACGGTGACTGCAAATGTCACAGCGCGTCAGCAGATTTTGAACCTGAAGTTTAATCCTGCGTAAGATATTCTAAATGGTTTCTAGGAGCAACGAATTCACACAGGTACATATCACTTCGAAGTACATCAACTGGGTATGTCATTGGACTGTTGTGATGGGCTTCAGTTCCTTGAAACGATTCAGTGTGTTTCAGCGAACGCAGAAGTCGTCAAGTTTATAAAATCCTAGACTAGCAATAATTTGTTTCCCGCTAAAGAAGGAAACTAGCAAAAATAGTCATACGAGAATGCTTTATTCACACTCTCTCTCGGGATCTAGATAATCCATTCATCATATTCTATGTTTCATCGGCAACTTGGTAAATAAAAGGGTACTAAATATTTTGCGGATGGTCAGTCTACGTTTATTTAAATTACAATACACTCGGGTGTTTGATACAGATGAAGATTCTGAACAATATCACAGTTTGGTGCCATCGTTCACCGCTGCATTTGTCAATTGTAACACAACCAGTACAATTATGGATATAAGGCAATTTTTTTTTTTTTTTTGTTATCTAAAACGGTAAAGTGGCGAGTAATCCCACCCCTACATGTCTGTAGGGGATGGCCAGCTAACGTTAACCAAACAGCAGTCGTCTAGTAAAAAGAGCAATCGCATGGATATCGAGCGTAATTTTAACTTCTGGCGTATTAGATTTGCAGGTGGTCGAAGCCTAAAAATTAGGCTATACCGATAGACCCGAGGGGCAAGAAGTGGTGAGGCATTTTACTGTATGCCTGATGATGTCTCTGTTAGAATCGTTACTCACCAGAGAATTGATCTTCGTTAAGCAAACAGCCAACAACCGAAATGATCTTCGTTCGCTTTCAACTATTTTGTTTGGTGATTTCTTTCTGTTGATTCGTAATCATAAAGCTTCTCGCAATGTCTATCAGAAGAAACACACGACAGCTGGATATCGTCTAATATACTGCGTTAGGACACTTTTTCTTACCTACAACATTGTCAACTATCGTTAAAATCATGAAATATCTTTCTATAACTAATTAGCCTATAGAATATTGTCTGTAAGCACTGATCAATGTTTCCAGTTGACTGCACACCCACATACGACATCCGGCTCGTGGCATCGTTTATTTATAACATCGTACTCTATAGGCGCGTTGTTTATAGGGTTCGGGACGTACCCTGCACCGGGTCTGCAAATGCAACGAGCTCTACCTCAAGAAGAATTTTTAATTTTTTTACCCTTTCTGAAATCCTCAGCACTAACGGAGTTTGCTCTACAGCTCTAAGTAGGGCATCTGCATCGTTCACCAAGTGCCATTGTAGTTGGCCCAACTGCCAAAGTTTGTCCTCAGTTCTCTCGATAAGAGACAGGCAGTCTAGCTTGAAACAAAGGATTCCCATAGTTATTATTGTGTCTGGGTCATTACCTTCAAACAGTGGAAATAAAAGATCTATCTTACTATAAATTTTTGACCTCATATTACTAATTCGCTGTGTGAAGCGGGCCATGATTTCCCGGTCGATGACTGACTGCGGACTGTCTGACGAGAAGAAGGTTCCAAATGATGGTCGATTTCGACGAGTGAAGGCACGCCTAATACGAGATTAAATAGCTGGGCCACGATGCTGTAAAGTAAAGATAGCTATTAGCATCATTTGCAAAGCGACGGAACAGGGCTCAACATACTGCAGTAACTATCATAGCTCGTACATGAGCTATTCAGTCCGAAAAAGAAGATAAGTGAGGTCCACTGTGCACTATCGTAGTCATCGTCATGCCTAGCTCTCCTTTGTGTAGCTAAAAAGAAAAACGACAACGACTCGCATTGTCAGCTTTCGTAAGATGGAAAGGAAAGCGCTCCATATAATAAGTAGTCATCCATTATAATTAGCTCAGCACAGTTAGGGAAATACGTCGTGTGGCTAATAGAGTGTTTCAAGTTTGACGTCCGATGTTACTCCGGATTTCAAAATCTAACCACCTCACTAAGCGTTTCTATTCTGCTACCGAGACAACTCACTTGTACCTACTGTCAATGTACTGAACGCTTGCTATGGGCTGTAGAACTACCCAGAACGTACCCGTTAACAAAGGCAACACTACATCACTGTGTATACTCATCGTCGAGCTGAACTGCCGTGGGACCTGTGCGTGGAAAACCAACGACGGCCTTTCAAACTGGGAATAATCTAGAAGAGAACCTGCCGCAGTTATCAGATAGCCATTCGCACGACTAACGAAGGCGGGGCACGTTCGTGTATCATCTAGGACACGTGCGTGCACGATACCATCTCACGTCTTCAAATCAAGCATTCAACGGCTTGTGAACAAATACTACGCGAACGTTGGTGATGTTAGAGTGATGTCTGACTAATTAATTCGAGCACGTTGCCCGATGTGTTGTACCATCATGACGTTATTCGACCTTCTATCCCACCAAAAACGTATGGTGCACTTTAGAAACTCATCATATTAATTGAACAGTATCTTATTCGTTTTATATAAACGCACCTACGAATACAGGACCTGTAAATTAGGACTGTGAATTTGAGCATAAAATTAAGCAAAATTTATGAATCACCGAGCCGTCATCAGAGTTTAACACGTGATTCCGTCGCGTTCAGTCTCGACTTGTAACTGTTTGTCGGTTCTCTAGACATATGATACATTCGTACTGCAGTGTACTAAGTTGTATGTATACGGTTTACGATGGCGCAGAATGTATCATGTTGGCAGAAACAATGTTGCTTATTAGGTCTTATTAGATTTATTACCTTATAGGTTTGTTAGATTGCTGTACGAGAGCCCAAAGTGTACGGTGCGACCTGGCGCGACGCTGCCCTAGAAGTTGTACATGTCACAAAGAACCAGCGCCAGTTTTTAGCGAGAACTGCAATCCTACAGAATCAAGGCTCTTGAAATATTTTTTTCCGAACCCCCCGCTATAGGGAGAGGTAATTGCCGAAATCTGACCCGTATCGTTGCTAAACAAAATAGAACTACTTTAGCCATTTAAATTACCCGTATATAGATATGCGCGGAAGGATTATATCACTGAAGTGAATTGACTCTGAAGACAACAGTTTTAGAAGACTAAAGAGAAGAAAATATACGGCAGGCTGTTCAGTGTGTAGCAGCCCTAATCCCCTATGACAGTGATCGATGTTTACAATTTATGTACACGTTCGTAACGTTTTTTTATTCATAGCATATTTCTCTATATGCATGTTTCTTAACGATCTTGACTTCCGTCTTTGTTATACGTTTCTTACCATTGACTACTTCTAGTCTGGTGGACTAGTCTCTAGACCAGTTCTCAGTCCGTGCGCCTTTCATGAGATCTTTAACGCCAGGTAAATGAAGTTTTCCGCTCTCAATAAAATATGCTATTTGCAGTATGCAACAATGTCGTACTGTACTCTACTCAGCTGTAAGCAATCACTTTAATTTGAAATTGAGACGTCCAGTGTCGACTTTGTCCAATGTTATCCCCCAAAAACAAGCAGGTGCGATACCTCTAAGTTCTCTTGAATTGTAACAGTCCTGCTCGTAGGACGGACCCAAGATTCTCCCGTTCTGGGCAGTGATGGACCAGATTTAGATTGAGGGTCTGCTTCAAAGTGCCGACAAGGAAGATTAACGAAACGGCATCTTACATGAAGAATGATCAATTAGTCAAAATACTGAAAAATCAAGTAGCTATTGGCTTACTTAATTAAAACATAAGTTATTGATGTCCTATACACTGTCGACATGAACTAGCTAGCTTGTGTATAACGTCAAATTGTTGTGAGAGTGAAGGCACCTACCGCTGATTACTCTAGAAAAGCCGAGAAAACAGTAAACCAATACACGACGAGATCTGCAATTCTATGCTGCTCGTATTGTTTGAGCTTGTGGCCATATATAATTTTGGCTGGTTCGAGCCTATCATACCCTCATAGAATGGAGAAAGTTTGTGCTATGCAATAACTGCGTTTGCTCTTTCGTTTCAGTTCTCATTGATTTTCATTCACTCATTCACTAGGCGAAAACGACGGACTCGTGGCTTAAGTTGTTGTCTGTAGCAGAAAATCGTAATGTCATATCTTTCCTCCAATATTTTCCATCTCCTCTCGGCGTGGTCGCGAAAATCAGGACAGAACCACAGCAACAGGAACCCATCGATTCTCGAGCCGTTGCAAGGACAAAAATGGGCAGTTACTGTAAGTGCGACTCTGCGCGGTAATGGCCAGTTAGCCAGGGGGCACCACGCCTGCTTTGTTTGTCCGATATTGTTACCGATGGACGGTTGGGACCCCATCGGACCTCTGCCTTCGCAGAGACGAAATAAAGACTAACCTCAGAATAAAACAGCATATCGAGGGAAACGTTCAAATCTACGGCCTAAAGGGGCCTGTGTCTGTGCTGTGGAAATGAGAACAGAGGAAGACGTGATCTTGTTTCTTGGAACATAGCGGCGCTGATCACATAAAGGCCACCACCCTCATTGTCCTCCTGGCTTGATGCCGCTGGGGTGGTGTCGCCTATTCCCGACCCTGCCAGCTTCCTCGGAAAGCAAGTAGCTGCGTCCGAAAAGTATGCATCGGGACGACAAACCCTGCAAAGAATGGGTGACCATATGATCGGTCGTCGCAACGACATAGAGATGGAGCACAATCAATAGAAACAACCAAAGAGAGCGAGAGTGGAAAGGGATTCCGTTGTCGAGAAAGTGAAACGATGGCAAAGTTGAATCAGCTCCATCGCCGTTACATCGCATACAAACACTAGGATCCATTAGCTGTGACTGGACCAAGACCGCCGAAGCGGATTGAAGATTCATTGTACGTACAGGGTAGCGGTAAGCATCAAGGGTCGTAGTGCTACCTGTAGTAACGTTAGTCGTTGCGCTTTTTGTTTGCGAGTAAAAACCATTTCGCTGGCCTACTGAGCACGTGCCACAATTCGACGAGCCATTGTGCTGACTATAACGGCACATCAGAGTCCTTCTTTTTGTTGCTGTTAGCAATCAGTTTTAATGTAAAGCCTTATACAGGACCAAACTAATTTACTATCCGAATTTAGCCTCGTAGATCTAACAAAAAATTTGTCCGTTTTGACTTAAAACGTAAAAATACAACGAACTATTTCAGCAGCTGTGGCTGTTGTGCCTTGCAGACAATAACATGTCGCTCTAATTTTGTATCTCGAGTAGATATTCAGTTGCCCACTTCTCCTCATTAACCTGTTCCTGATACAAGATACGCCTGATCTGGCAAATGTGATTTAGCCGAAAAAAGACTACAAAAATGGACACGCGGTTCCATTTGTTATTGTTTACTAACTTTAGATGAAGACTTATAAAAGCCAAGCTCAGATCGTTAGAAAATACTAAGTCTGATCGAAAAGAGATTACTAGCAAAGCCAATGGATCTAAGCGTATGCATAGATATATGGTGAATACGCTCGAAAACGTGACAAGACATGGGCTATATTTACGCAAATAATATGACTGGCAATGATCGAACGCTAATTTAAGTAGCTACGCTTGATTCTAACAAAAAGGCCTTTGCTTGAAAGCTGTACTCGGAACGAATTCTCAACGAAAAACGGAGCCTCTGAGATCTGATAACTTTGCGTAAATAACTGTCAGTGAATGCGAATTGAAGTAAATAGCATTTAACACAGGTAGGAGCTGATTTCAAGCGATGCATCCAAATTAAGTTGTATCCAAGTGAGTCGTGTGGTAAGGCATTTTCAATCTTGATTGATAACATCCGCTCCCCACTGATCAGCAGAGGGAGTTACGTTTTACACTGGAGACATCTAGTGTGTTTGAATGAAGTATTTGTCTCTGATCAATGCATATTCACGCCATACGCAGCCTGCATATTATCAATATCGTTTATAGAGCTTAGAAATATTTTTTTGTCAAATGTATGTGAAGTAAATTCAACTAAAATTCAATCAAACGGTACAAAGAAAAATGCTTGTTAATCAAATGTAATTTAATAGCAGATTAGAAATAATACAAACTAAATCATCGTCAACATCGGCTCCTATAATGTCGAAAACTGACTGTATATACCAGTAGCTGGTAGAACACTGGTCTCGTCAATGGCGTAACTGATCCGTATCTCGATAAGAGTGATTGGAAGAAAGTCCGCATTACCTGACGCTCGAAATAGATCCGAGTACTATCTATCGTCGATAAAGTCATGCCATTTCTCATTCAGGAGCAGCGTTGTTTTATGCGAGCCTTGCTTGGAAGTGTTCTACTTGATGAGGGCAGGGAACGTGAACAAAAGGTCACTAATAGCATAAGCCATACAGACAAAAAAAGCGTACAATCACAGAATATCTATGTTTCGCAGGGTTAGTCCACTAGATCCATGGTACACACATAAACGTAGAGGACTTCGAATACACTAACGGTTTTCCCGCATGACTCCTCGATCCATCCTGCCGAATGCTCAGATTATTCCGTTCCCCTGTAATGATAAATTTGACTAAAAATCTTAAGAGGCTATGTAAGATGCAGGAGTTGCTTGCGAAAGCAAGGAACTTGACCACGTCTTTTCTTCAACTAATTAGGCACATCCTCGTAATCCCGAAGAATACGTTTAGACTCGTCGTTCGGCCTAAATCTTTTCTGTCGACTGCCTCAGGCTGCCCCTGGAATGTCAATAGCCTCAAGATTTCGCAAGACTGCAGCTGTAACAGGCGCGTTGCTTTCGCATTACTTACGGTACGTGGCCGCACACCGATTTGGGTATTGCTTCGTTACCGTGCGTTTACCTATGTGTTTGTGAGCAAGTGCTCTTGTTCTACAAAGTTCGAAATCATTATGCTTCAATTCCTTTACGTACGGGACACTTCGGCAGCATAAAGGAGGCACAAAAACTCTCTGTTCTGCTTGGTTCTGTCAGAAGCAGCAACGCTAAAACAAGTGAGCAGAAGTGGGAATGCAGCGCCGGATGGAAAAAAGGGCAAAGGGCTAACTAGAAGCAGGGTTTATGGTTGTTGACACCACTGTGTAAATGTAGAAGATGTGTGTGAAGGGAGTTGGGCAATGCCTTGAAGCCTGAAGGCAATGAATACAGGCACTCCTGTCTCCAGAGAGAAACTAACGGCCGTCTCGTAAATCGCTGCCACCTTTTAGAAGGGGCACTTAAAAGGATGGACACGAAAAGGCACACACAGATAAAAATATATAGGGCGAAGGTTGAAAATTGACCCTCAATTTTGGACATGTCTATCGACAGACAAAAAGTTACTGATTTATT